CTCCAAACCCCTAAATGAAATGGGATGCAATATAGCATAAAGAATAATAATTCATTTGTGACCCTAGGATTCCTAGATCTAAGGCACTGAGGCTACCAACATGAGCCAAAATCCCTTGCCCTGATATGGCATGGAAGCACAGAGGCATTTGCCTTCAAGAAACCACATGGTGCTTCATGAGCACTTCAGCCAGCCAGTGTGAATTTAAGCTAAGAGGGGTGCCTCCAGCTATTCTGAGACACCATAATAAATGAAATGTGTGAAACAAAAGTAGTCTTACAATGACTAAGATGGCATCTTACATCAGCCTTACATCAAGTGGAACAAGGGCTTGGAGGTAGATTTAATTTGATTAAAAAATAATATTAATAGAGGAATGGTACGTTCCTTACACACTTATTTCAAATGTGTTAGTTTCATATGCCCTAACTTCAAGTTTGTTAAGCACTTACTCTGAGCAGACCCTGTACTAAGCAGAATGTGCTCCCAAGTATGGAATAGATGGTGGTGGTGGTGTGCCATGGAGTTGGTTTGGATTCATAGCAACCCTGGATAGGCTTTCGGAGGCTGTAAATCTTTATGGGAGCACAAAGTCTCATCTTTTTCCCATGGAACGACTGGTAGTTTCAAACTGCCGACCATGAGATTAGCAGCCTGATTCGTGAAGTATGGACTAGAATACCTTACAAAATTAGGGACAGAGGAGAAAAGGTGTCATGAAGGAAATAGGACTGATTAGTCACTTGGTCTAAATTTTAGGCTGACAAATCACATAATTTTTTTTTTTCAGTCATAATGTTATACACTACGTGTTTAAAGAACAATGAAGTATTATATAACATTATACGACGAAGCTGTAGCATGAGCCCAGGAGTCACATTGCTTGTTTTCATGTCAGTTTTACACATGTGGTACTTAATGGACAGGCAAATCACTTACTCTATACTCTATACTTCAGGTTACCGTTCAGAGAAATAGGGATAACAGCAAACTCATTTACAGGACTGCTGTAAAAATAAGATGCTGTGATGCATGTTAAGTTCTTAGAATAGGGTATAGCCCTTATTTTAGGCTGTCACAGTTTTCAACATAATTAGCATTTTTCATAATAATTAACATGCATCTTAAAGACAGCTTCCTATATTTAAAGTTACGTTGCAAAATTAGACTTAGCAACACATTAGGCATAATTAGGTGAATTTATTGGAGGTTTTTTCATACCCATACAGTCTCTCACAGAGACTTTCAAACATCAAATAGTCTCTCTTACAGATTAAAGTGTTTCTCAAAAAAATGTGTTAGAACCCTATATTAGTGAATATAATCTTGTTTGGAAACTGAAGTTTCTCTGTTATGTTCATTTGATCACACAGAGTAGGTGGGTTCTAAATCTAATCACTTCTGAGGTCTAAAAAGAGCAGGTTAGATACAGACACAGGGAAACAGATTATTTGAGCAAAAAGACAAATGTATTTATAAACTCAAGAACTCAAAAAAAAAAAAAAAAAAAAAACCTAGCTCCACACCTTGAATTTGGAAGTCAAGACTCCTGAACTGTGAGAAAATAAATTTCTGATTTTTAAAGGTAGCCACTGTATTACAGCAGCCCAAGAATTTAGAAGTTAGACTGATTTTTCTTGTCTATTCACTACAAGTTAGGACTGTTTATACATTAGAATTTCAAACAGTAGTCAAAATTATGGGGGGAAAAAATTATAGACCAAAAGAAGATATAACTTGATAATCTTTAAAAAGTATATTATGTAAAGAGTATTTTATATCTGGGTACAACATTATTGCTATTGGTAAAGGGGGAAATTACTACCTACCATCCCAGTGACAAAGCCATTGTCAAGAGCAAGAGAAACATGGTTTATTTGATGACTTTGGAAAATGCACACATTCCCTTTGCTGAAAATAACATCAAAGAAACCTGAAAAAAAAAAAAAAGAAAGGCCAAAAAATGGGGAATTTAAAAGTTTGTTTTTTTTTCCTTATTCAACTATACACGGACTCTCCTAACAATACATTTTATGTTATCTCTCAATTACATGTGTTTAATTAGTCAAAAGGTAAAATGCCAGCAATCTTTAATAATCATGCTATTTGACAATTTGGTGGAATTTCCATGGAACATATCTAATAACTTCCCAAGCTAACAGTAAACCTCAGAGACAAACCTCCTTCCTTCCCTCACCCCACCTTACCCTGTAAAAAGCTGTTGGAATTGTTTCCTGCAAAGTAAATTAATCTAACATAAAAATCCATTTCTGAGACTTGAAGAAAAACCAAAAAATCCATTGTAAAATCAAGAACATATGATTTGAGCATTAGTTACTTTCAAAAAAATGATGATAGCGATGATATATATTTTATAGGTTTTAGCTTTCAGTAAATTTTCACACATATTTTTATCTTAAAATGCAAGTTTCTCAGGAGCTTTGATTTTTGTTTATTCTGTGTGCAATTATAGCCCATTTCCTAAAACAGTGCCTGGAATATAGTAGGTGTTTAAAAAAATATTCTTAGTAGTAACAGAAATTAAATAGAACACAGAACTTCAGATTTTAGCTAGTACTCTTTGAATTATTAATAATCTTTCCTCTGTTGTTCAGGAATACTTTCTCATAGCATTTCTTTTTTTCTCATTTTTGTCTTCTTACAAATAAGCAATTCTCAAACAATGAGTGAAAGAGCCAGACAGGTAAGAGTAGTCATTATTTTTGAATTTATATGAAGTTCAAAAACAGGCAAAACTACTTTAGTCTTAGTTTAGCAGTCAAGGTAGTAATTACCTTTGGAGGGCAGTGACCGAAGGAGCATAAGATAGTGTCTGGGTGGCTAATGAGCTAACTGAAAGGGTAGCAACTCCAGTTCACCCAGAGGCACCTCAGAAGAAAGGAAAGAAATCAGACAATGGAAATCTTTTGGAGCACAGTTCTACTGTAACACACACGGGGTCATCATGAGTCAGAAGCGACACCAACAGTAACTGCATATATAAAATTTATTGTCATTGTTGCTGCTGCTAGATGTACTTCGAGTCAGTTCTGACTCATAGTGACATAGTGCACAAAATGAAACGCTGACCGGTCATGTTCCACACCACAACTGTTGTTACATTTCAGCACATTCCTGCTGCCACTGTGTCAATCCATCTTGAGTGATGCAAAAGCATTGAAAGAAGATGGAAGAATACAAAGAGCCACCATACCAAAAAGAAGTGGTCAGTGTTCAACCATTTACAGAGGTAGCATAGATCAAGACCCAGTGACACTGAAGAAGAAATCCACTAAAGGCACTGACAAAGAGTAAGGCTCTGGAAATTCATGGAATACAATTAAAATCTTTAAACAAAATGATGCAGCACTAGAGGCATTTACTCATTTATGCCAAGAAATCTGGAAGACAGTTACCCAGCCAAGAGATTGAAAGAGATCCATATGTGTGCCTGCTCCAAAGAGAAGTGACCCAATCAAATGTGGAAATCATTGGATAGTAACAGTATTAGAACATGCAAGCAAAATTTTGCCAAAGATAATTCAAAACTGGCTGCAAAATTACATGGACAGGGAACTGCCAGAGGTTCAAGCCAAATTCAGACAAGGATGTGGAGCAAAGTAAATCATTGCTGACATCAGATGGATCTTGGCTGAAAGCAGGGAATACCAGAAGGTGTTTACCTATGCTTTACTGACTACACAAAGGCTTTCGACTGTGTGGATCTTGATAAGCTATGGACAACACTGTGGAATGAGTGTTCCAGAACACTTAATTGTGTTCATGAGGAACTTGTACATACACCATGAGGCTGTTGTTCAAACATAACGAGGGGACACTGAGTGATTTAAAAATAGGAAAGATGTGTACTATGGTTGTATTCTTTCACCATACTTATTCAGTCTGTATCCTGAGTAAATAATCAGAGACTTATGAAGAAAAACATGGCATCAAGAATGAGATAGACTCATTAACAACCTGCAATATGCAGATGATAAAACCTTGCTGACTGAAAAGAAAGAAGATTTAGCTTACTTAAAATATTTAAAAGATCAAATATTTCAGCATGGGTTTCAGTTTAATATAAAGAAAAAAAATCATCATCACTGGACCAATTAAATAACATCATGGTAAAGGAGCTCTGGTAGCGTAGTGGTTACGAATCGGGCTGCGAACCTCAGGGTCAGCAGTTCGAAACTACCAGCTGTTCCACGGGAGAAAGATGAGGCTTTCTGCTCCCGTAAAGATTTACAGCCTCAGAAACCCTGTACAGGGTCATTATGAGTCGGAACCGACTCCACGGCACATAACAACAATAACAACAACAAATGGAGGTAAGATTCAAGTTTTGAAAGCCTTCATTTTGCTTGGATCTACCATCAACATTCATGTAAGCAGTACTTAAGAAATCAAACAATGTATTGAATTAGGCAAAACTGCAGCACAAGACCTCTTTAAAGTATTGATGAGCAAACATATCAGTTTGAGAACTAAAGTGCACCTTACCCAAACCATGGTGTTTTCAGTGGCCTCATATGTATGTGAAAGTTGGACAATGAATAAGGAAGACTGTAGAAGAACTGATGAAATTCCTGATGCCACATTCATCTTCATATAATCCAACTTCTCAGATTATTTGATCAGCATACAGTTAAATAAGTATGGTGCAAGGATACAACCCTGGAGCACACCTTTCTGATTGTAAACCATTCATTCAGCCCTTGTTCTACTCTAACAGCCGGCCTATGTACAAGTTCCTCATAGTTTTCATGATCTATACAGTAAAAAAAGCAAAAGCACTAAAGCACAAGTAAACTTTTTTTTCTGGTATTCTTTACTTTCATCCAAAATCCATCTGATGTCATCAATGACATGCCTCATTCCACATCTTCATTTGAATCTGACTTGAACCTTTCACATTTCTCTATGTACTGTTGCAATCATTTGTGAAGTATCTTCAGCAAATTTTACTTACATATGATACTAATGATAGTATTTGATGGTTTCCAAATTTTGTTGGATCACCGTTCTTTGGAATGGGCTAAAATGTGGAACTCTTCTAATCAGTTGGCCAGGTCGTTGTTTTCTAAATTTCTTGGAATAGATGAAGGTGCAGTTCCAATGCTGACTCGGTTTGTTGAAAATGATCCATTTCTATTCTGCCCATACATGGAACCTTGTTTTCCGCCAATGTCTTCAGTGCAACTTGGACTTCTTCCTTCAGTACCGTTGGCCTCTTGAAATGGTTAAACATTGACCATTTCTTTTTGGTACAGTGACTCTCTAAATTCCTTCCATTTTCTTTTCATGCTTTCTGCATCATTCAAAATTTTGCCCATTGTTGTTTCATGCCACTGAGTCGGTTCCAAATCATAGTAACCCTACATAATGTTTCTGAGGAGTCGCTGCTGGTTTGGCACTGCCAACCTTGCAGTTCAAACCGGCCTAACAGTTTAGTGCTTATCTTAGAGTGTCACATCAGGACTTCACAGAATCCTTCAATATTTCTGGTCAAGGTTTGAATGTATCTTCAGTTATTTCAACTTTAGAAATGTTGAACATGTCCTTCCCTTTTGGCTTTCTAGCTCCAGGTCTTTGCACATTTTGTTATAATACTTGACTTTGTCTTCTACAACTGCCATTTCAAATTTTCTGTTCAGCTTTTCTATCTCCTCATTTCTTCTATGTGCTTTAACTTCTCTACATTCAAGAGCATGCTTCAGAGGCTCTTCTGACCTCCATTTTGGTCTTTTCTTTGCTTCCTGTCTTTTTAATGACCTTTTTGTTTTCTTCTATGATGCTCTAGATGTTCTCCCACGACTCTTCCAGTCTTTGCTCTTTAGTGTCTAATGCATCAAATCTGTTCTTGAGATGGTCTCCAAATTCAGGAGACTAAATTCAAGGTCATATTTTGACTCTCATGGGCTTGTTTTTTCTTCAGCATTAGCCTGAAATTTCATATGAGCAATTGATAATCTGTCCCACAGTCTGTGACTGGCCTTATTTTTGCTGATGATATTGAGCTCTTCTTCCATCACTCCCCACAGATGTAATCAATTTGATTCCTCTGTATTATATCTGGTGACGTACATGTGTATAGTCACATGTTGTTTAAAAAAGTCATTTGCAATGAATAAGATG